AGTGGAGAGTGAATCATAACTTATTTTGCTTCTTATTTCCCACAATCCTCTGGAAGTCTATTGTGCCAGAATTCCTGCCATAATTAGGGCTCCAAGTTGGAGTCTAATGTTACCACCACCAATTCAATTAGGGGAATATACAGTAGAAATGATATTTGGACAAGCTGTCTCAAATACTTCTTCGTTTAATTACACTGATGATCTATTTTCCCTGTTATCTGAATTTATTAACTCAGATTATCCTTTCTCTATAATTATTGTGCAATCACTCATATCTTTAATCAGTTTTCTCCTCTATATACTGTAGACTTCGGTGTCTTCTGCTCTTATATGTCTGTCAATTCAATCTTACCTGCTTTTTGTGTTCCAGCAACTTTTCAGAATTTCTGCCTTTCTGATTGTATTTACATCATTATTATTTATATCAGTTTCTTAAATTGAGTATTTAGTAGGGGTGAGTTCAATTAAAATAGGTTGTACTTAGGACAAATAGAAAAAAAGCCAGCCAAATACAAAATTTAAAAATCCGGTGGGACTTCAGATATTTAAAGTTGTACACCGAAAACTAATACAATGAGCCCACTTGGCGTGCCTCAGTGGTTGACCATCAACCTATGAACCAGGAGCTCGTGGTTTGATTCCTGGTCAGGGCACATGCCCAGGTTGTGGGCTTAATCCCCAACATGGGGCATGCAGGAGACAGCCAATCAATGATTCTCTCTCATCCTTGATGTTTCTATCTCTCTCCCTGTCCCTTCTTCTCTGAAATCAATAAAAATATAAAAAATAAAAGAAGTTTCATATTTTCGGATAAAGACAACTAACCCAGGTGAACACTTCAATTACCAGTTGAATTTGTGATGAACAACGTGGCAAATGGTTCTGTCAAATCAGAGTAGGAGGTGGGGGTTATGAATATTCTTTAAGTCATATGAGGAAGGGTGGTTCTCTATGTGAGCAGTTTCCCAGAATGAGAACAGTGGGGGTTTTCTTTAACTGTCCCTGTTTTCTAAGACTACAGAACACAGGTAAAGTTCAACATTGTCAGCACTGATACAAAAATAGACAAAGAGGTCAAAGGCATAGAATCAAGCCCCTCAGAAGACTCATGCCTATACTATAGATATGTGAGTTATAAAAAAAGTAGAATTGTAAGATAGTATTAAAAAAGTCGAGTGTTTTCAGTAATTGGAGCAAGTTAAATGACTAAACATACAGGGGAAATGGACTCCATCTCACACCACACACAACAATTTTTTCCAGGTGGATAGCGGTTCTCATTGTGAAAATCAAAATAATATAACTCATAGAAGATAATGTAGGAAATTAACTGCATGATCTTGTTGGTAAAGTTTAAGAGCATTATTTATAAAGCAAAGGCTTGAGACAGTGGACTACATTGAAATTAAAAACATCTGTTCAGCCCTAGCTGGTTTGGCTCAATGGATAGAGCATCAGCCTGCGGACTGAAGGGGCCCTGGTTCGATTTCAGTCAAGGGCTCATGCCCAAGGTTGTAAGCTTGATCCCCAGTAGGGGGCAAGCAGGAGGCAACTGATCAATGATTCTCTCTCATCATTGATGTTTCTCTCTCTCCCTCTCCCTTTCTCTCTGAAATCCCTACAAGAGTGTTTTCTAGGTAAAATCTGTTATCACAAATAATATGACATTAAAATAAAAATGAGTGACCCTAACCGGTTTGGCTCAGTGGATAGAGCGTCAGCCTGCGGACTCCAGGGTCCTGGGTTCGATTCGAGTCAAGGGCATGTACCTTGGTTGCGGGCACATCCCCAGTGGGGAGGGTGCAGGAGGCAGCTGATTGATGTTTCTCCCTCATCGATGTTTCTAACTCTCTATCCCTCTCCCTTCCTCTCTGTAAAAAATCAATAAAATACATTTTAAAAAATAAATTAATTATAAAAAAAGAGAAGCACAAACTAGGAAAAGATCAATAAAATATATAATAAATGGAAATAAAAACAGTTGTTACAAATCAACAAGTGAAGACTTAATTTAAAAACAGACAAGAGACTTTAGCAGGGATTTCATAGAAATGCTTTATCTAAATGACCAATAAACATATACATGCAGATCAATCTCCTTTCTATCAGAGAAAGGCAAATTAAAACCATAATAAAACACATACACAGTTTCCATACAAAATAACACAAATAAATGGGAAGAAGCTTATACAAAGCTAAGTTAACCATCCGAATAAATGCTGAGCCAAATGCTGTATGATTCTTTTTTTTTTTGCTTATTTGTTTTAATTTAAACTGATCTCTGCTGTGAGAAATTACAGTTGATCTCTGCTCCGGAGAATGGAATAGTGATTGGGAGAAGGCACTAGGGTTTCTGGGGTGTTAGAAATATTTTCTCTTTTGATGTGGGTGGGGATTACAGGGCTGTGCATTTTGTGATAACTCAGTGAGATGTACATTTATGACTTGTGGGTCCTTCTCTATTTATGTTACTAGGATTCTAAATTAGTACATCTTTTTATAAAGGAGGAAAGTGCAGTCTGTATAAATTTTAAATGTGTGTGCATATAGACTCAGAAATTTAATGTGGTATCCATTTTGCAGAAAAATTTACATATATGTTGAAATATGTAAATACTATGCTGTAAAGGGCAGAATTGTTTGTAATATCAGAAGAGTTGGAAACAAACTCAATGTCTGTCAGAAGTGGAAATGTTTAATAGAATTACGTTACATTTATATAAGATGTTATAAAATGCAGATTGTGAGGGGCATATGTCACATGGTTGTGAATATATTTTAAAAAGTATGAAATTCCATACCAATGCAAATGCTCTTGCAGTACTGTTCAATCTGTACATACATAAACTATAGTGGTTGGGATGAAGTTAGTAAGGAAAGGACCTTTCTACATTACCCTTCCAAATAACTTCCTCAACAGAGCAAGAATAGTATTGCTTTATGAGAGGAAATTATTGAATTTTAAAACTAAATTAACCTAAGGTACTGACACTCTTTACAAACAACAACTACAGATGAATGAATACTGATATTTCTGTTCCTGATCAAGTTCCTAATTTGTCCCTACAGAGTCACTGGTCTTTTGTTAGCAACTTTTCAGTGTAACACGGATATCTGAAGTATTTCACAGTTTACGAAGTGTCTCACAGACATTCTTTTATTTCATTTTCCCAATATTTCCAGTATTATCATTCTCTCTATTTTAAAAGAGGTTATATATTTAGAAAGAAGCAGACACATGACCTGAAACCAGATTTTCTGATGCCATGCCATGTGCTCTTTATTTATTTACCTATAGGCTGCCTCCTAGGTTTGTTGTTATTTAATCCTGTTAGAAAAGGGGACACAATTTTTAGTTTGTAGATTCATATCATTATACATTAATTCTAGGCACTACATTTTGTTTAATATTTCTTTCCATGAATTATTAAAAAATAGAGGTAGGAACTAGAAAAATTGTTATTTTAAAATCCTTCTAAGACACTTAAAAGTACTGAACCTAAAGGGAATGAAGTCTTCAATTGCTCAGGGGAACAGAGAAAGTAAAATCAAGGGAATGGTCTTTTGATTGTTAGAACCTTGGTGACTACATTAATATGCAATAGAGAGAAGGTGTAAGAGCAACAAAGAACCTGCATTTTTTCCCCCTCTAAAAATCACACCAGTAAAAATAATATCTAACACTTACTAAGCACTTACTATGTTCCAGAAACTGTTAAAGCCTTTCATACCTAAACTCAATTCTCAGGGTAATGAGAGGTAGATATTATTCCTATCTTAACACAAAGAAACAATGGCACAGAAATGTGATTCTTTAGAAGAGAGGGCTTGAATGGTGAACTTAAAGATCCTAGGACTACAAATGGAGAGGAAATATTATTATTGAAAAGACTAAAATAGTCTTAATGAAAAGGAAAAGTTCTGTGGTTTCTCAAATGCTATCTTATCTAATAAAAGACAAAAAGGGTAATTAACCGTACCTCTGCTACGCTTCCCATAGGCTAATCAGTGAGATATGCAAACTAACTGCCAACCAAGATGGCGGCCGGCAGCCACGCAGCGGAAGGGGGCAGGAGGTTTGCTTGCTCCAGTGATGGAGGAAGCCAAGGTTCCCCGCCTGCCGTGGCCTGGCTCTGAGCTCTGAAAGCAACTAAGTTTCAATTATAGAAACTAAACAAACCCCAGATAGCTGCTTTCAGCCGGCCGTGGCCATGGAGCTGGAACGGGCTCTTAGCTCCAGTGTCGGCAACATACTTTCAATTATAGAAGCTAAACAAACCCCAGATACCTGCTTTCAGCCAGCTGTGGCCTCAGAGTTGGAGCAAGCAGGACTGCAACAGAGTTTCAATTACAGAAGGTAAATAAATCCCAGAATAAAAATAAAAGAAAGAAAGGTGAGGCTGGGAGCTTCAGGCACAGGCCAGCCAGAAAGACTGGGAATGAATGGTCAGTATGACACACACTGACCACCAGGGGGCAGACGCTCAATGCAGGAGCTGCTCCCTGGTGGTCAGTGTGCTCCCACATGGGGGAAGCTCTGCTCAGCCACAAGCCAGGCTGATGGCTGCCAGTATAGCAGTGGTGGTGGGAGCCTCCCCTCCCTCCTCAGCAGCCCTAAGAATGTCCGACTGCAGCTTAGGTCTGCTCCCCGCTGGCAAGTGGACATCCCCCGAGGGTTGCCGGGCTGCCAGAGGGATGTCTGATTGCCAGCTTAGGCCCAATCCCCTGGGGAGCAGGCCTAAGTCAGCAGGTGGTCACCTTCTGAGGGGTCCCAGACTGCAAGCGGGCACAGACTAGGCTGAGATACTCCCCCCACCCGAGTGCACAAATTTTTTTGCACTGGGCCTCTAGTCTATATATAAAGCATTCCATTTCCATTTGGAACAACCAGTATTCCTCCAACTATGCACTAAATTTACAAAACCAAACTCTAAGATCATAAAACCATTTTGCAAATATCTTATAAAATCTAAGTCCTGTTCTCAATTAAATGCCTTTCCCAGCATTGCATGATGTCTCCTTCTTTACTATGTCCACCATTCAATTTTAAACAATAGTTTGAGAAGTAGGGAGGTTAACACACTTAAGTGGGCCAAGTGAAATTTCAAACATGCCCAATACCACTAAATAAATTATCAAAATTTCCACAGAAACACCTGCTGACACAGTATTGCCTATGCGCACATATAAAGGAAAACAAAGGTACACATCCCTTACTGGAAGGGATATGCCCAGATGGCTTCTCTACCTACAATTCTGTTTCTTGATGAGGATGGAAAGAAGCTTGACTTGTCCTCAATGAGGAAGAGTTCCTGGCGATGTCTGCTAAATTGGACAGTGAAATAATCCGGATCAGGATGCTTCACATTCTTTGGGAGCTTCAGAGGCCCAAAAGTGAAGGAGCTTTGTTCCGGTCGCGGAATATCACTCTCCTTAATTGGCCTTTTGACGCCCAACACTTCAGCATAAGTAACTAATATCTCCCAAGGGGCATGGATCTTGACAAAGTAAGTTCTTCCATCTTCAGAGTTCTATACAAAAAGAGGCAAAATAAAAGAAAGCTGACAAATATGTTTATTACTGAGCTAATTAAGGAAAAGAAATGGAATTATATAAAAACACAAATTAAAGATATCACAGCATTTTTCAATCTACTGAAATTCAGCAAAACTTTTAGAAGAGCAAATGCTCAAGACAGTTGTATACTGTATATATATATATAT